CCTCTGAAACTCAGGGCGGCGGGCGGCCCGCTTCGGGGCGGATTTGAAGCCGGGGGGGGGGCGGAAGGGCTTGATGTTGATGGAGATCGGAATTTGGTCACTTGCGAATGCCGAAATCACGAAACATTGCTCGCGGGGGCGACGTAAATTCACGATCGAGGCACGCCGCGTGGGAAACCGCCCCATCCCTTACCTCGCGCCTGGCATCTAGCTCCTGGAGAAACTCCGCGAGGTGAGGACGGCGACAGTGGAAGAGTCACGATTGAAGCCGGTCTCCAGCCCTCCGCGCAGCACCGCCACCCGGCCGTCCTCCTCCGAAGCAAACTTGACATCGGGGGCGGAAGCGGGGGCGCGCTGCGCCCGGCCGGCGGCCGACCCGAGAGGGGCGGGGCAGGGGGGTCGTGGTCTTCACTTGGAGTTACCCCTCGCGATATCCTCATCCAAGTCATTGCAAGATTTTGACGATCCAACAGCAATGGTTGAAATCCTGCACCCATGAGAAAATTGCGCGCGTAGTCTGCCCGCCAGTTCGAAGTCGACCTTGCGACCTTGTCAAGGCGCACTCTGCCGCGCGCAGCGGCTCCCACTCAACGACCGCCCGCGCCCGCCTTCTCTGTTCGACGCGCGCGCCATTTGCCCGCTTCCTCTTCGTCCTTCGTTGTGCTACTGTCCACGGATCGATCTGCGCATGTTCCGCTGTTGTCTCCGCTGCGCGCGTCGCCCTTTATCCAATCCGGCAAGGCCCCGACTCTCCATCTGCAGTGCCATCCTCGAGTGTCCTCCGCCCGACCCCTAATAGGGCGCCCGCCATCGGTTTGCTCTCCCTTGCGAGCCATGACCTTTCATCGGCCCGTTGAAACCCCGCGGTCGCGCCGCGTCGTGCTCTGTGTCGTCGGGCTCGTCAAAGACGAGGACCAAGTGCAAGTGCTTGTTGCCAATTTGCATAGCCGTTGCTTTCTCTGGGCGGAGTTCCACGCGCCCTTCTCTTGCCCCTGTAGCCGCGGCAACGTCGCCGATCATTTTCCGCCGAATTGTGCTGGACAGCGCCGCCAAGGGCGCATCGACCGCAAAACGAGACAACAAAATGTTTGAAAAATGCGCTCTGCACCGCAGAAGGTCCACCCACAACTCGGCTGCGACCGCAACTCCCCCACCTCGCTGAACGCGTCTTTCAGGGCGGCGTCTAAGCGCAAGGGCTCAGGGGGCCGCCGCGTTCGCCCCCCAGTTTCAAAAGGAGGGGCTCGCTCGTCGTGTCGGTGGGAACGCAGCCTCCTTGCTTTGAAAAATGCGGTAACAAGATCACACGCGCGCGCGGCGCGCCCTGTTCGCGACGCGCCTTCCAGACCCGCCCGCGCCCCGAACTGTCGAGCACCTTGCAAAAGCCAAAAGCCGCAACGACGCCAGGTGAACCGCATTCTCTCCTGTTCTCCTGCGTTTGAGCTGCTGCCCACAAGTTGCCCACGGTGCCGCGGCCCCGTCGATGTCCCGATTGATCCAGCGCCTGCTCCTCCACGAAAACCGCTTCTAATCGCTGCGCGAGGCGCTGAGCGGGCGACCGATGCACAATTAGAGTGGTTGCGATGGGTCCGTGAATTGGCGGCGACTTCGGGTCGCCGGCATAGTATGCCACTGTCGCAATGGACCCCGCCCGCTGTGGTGTAATTTTCCTGGCCCCCCGACGCGGCACAGAGCGAAGCCGTCGCCGCGCGCCCCGCAGGTAGTAGGTTCTCCACCCGCCCTTGGCAATGTCGGCAAGTGCTCCAATCGCATCTCCGCACTTACCGCGCTTAAGTTACCGATGCGTTACTGGTGCGCGCGCTGTGCTGCTCAAACAGCGCTCGCATGAACAGCGAGCGCGTCGCGCGCGCTCGCGGGGCGCAGGTTGGCGACGGCGAGGGGGGCAGCTGGGCCCGCGGGGCGACAGTGGACGACGCGGCCAGCAATGACCGGCGCATGTGCGGCGCGTGAAAAGCGCAGGCAGGTCTTCGCGCCCAAGACGGCGACGGCCCCGCCCTCTCTTCGATGCCCTGCAAAGGGTGGCGAGCCGCAGTGGCCGAGCCCAGATCGCAGCGGGACTCTCAAGCACCCCCATGGACCGTTGACTTCCTGAATGCAGGGGATGCCATGGCGATGGAGATACTTGAGGGGGGTTGAGTAGCGCGCGCCGGAGCGCGAACTAGCATTCTTGACGGATCTAAAAAGGCCGCGCGCGTCCCATGGGCAGAGAGACAGTGGTCGAGACGGGGCATGGGGGAGACGCTTGGGATAAGTGGGAGAGGGAGGCACCCCGCCATGCTCATGCTGGGTTAGATGGTGAAGGAGATAGCGCGCGCGTGCTCTTTCGAGCGCGATCTGGCTCTGCGCCGAAAGGGGCGCCTGATCTGCGCCTCCGCTGTGGAGCGATCTGGCCCAGCACTTAAAGGGGCGCCTGACTTGCGCCCCCGCTGCAGAGCGGATCGCCTCCGCGCGGGCCTCCGCCCCAAACCCGCGGAGGCCCTGCGCGGCGACCTCGATGGAGGCAGTGGAGCCATCCTCAGAAATATCCAGATGCGCGGTTTCGATGGACTCGTGGTTCTTTGAATTCAGAGCGCACGCAAGTTCCCCTGAACCGTTGCTGCCGACGGTGGCGCCGCGGGGCGCGAGCTGTTTGGCGACGCGCGCGCGCAACCGACTCGTGGAGAGGTCGTTGGCGGCCGTTTAACACTTGATCGCATTTGACACCGGCATGGATGTTGCGCGGGCCGGGGGCGTCATGGGAGAGAGATGCCCCGGCGCCGCTGAAAATGGAAAGGGACTTTCCAGCGTCGGGGGCCCGTGTGAAAAACGTGGGGATCTTCCTCGCCGCGTCGATCACGTCGCGTGGATGCGGGTCTGGGCGGCGGCATGCGCGCGCCGAGCTTCCGGCGCGTCGCCGATGGGCTTCGAGGATCGGGCGAATCTCCTCCTAGAGAGGCCGACTACGATGAGCGTGAAGTTGCCGCGTGAACCTCCAACGCTGCTGGCCACAGTTGGAGGCGTAGAGAGACTCTTGGGCTGGGCTGCGATTGAGGGGTCGATCCGTTGGTGCATTCGCTTGTTGTGCATCTGCTTGTTGCCGCCCGCGTCCATGTCGAAACAAGTGACAGTTGGCCGTGCGTCTTGAGCCGCGATCGAATTCCTTATCCGCTGCGAGACATGCTCCTCGAACTGATCGAAGCGGTCGTGGAGGCCAGTGAACATGGCGGATTGTCGGCCCTCCGCCAGTGAGACCTTCTGCTGGATCTCGGCTGAGAAGTTGAGCCTATTCGTCGCCAGTAGATCGCAGCGATGCTGCGGCGCCGTGGGTGGAAACTTGACCAGGCCAACGCCATAGGACTGCGCCGATATGCGACCCCAAACCACGCAATACACGAAACACTTCATCTAGATTCTCGTCGCTGGATGGCCGTGGTCGCGTGCGGCTGGCAATGTTTGGGCGGCTGGCTGACTCCCTATGGCGTCTGCTTGCCGTCTGTGCTGATGGAAACCTGCTGCGGGTGAGATGCTGCGGGTGAGACGTTGGTTTGGGCTCATGCCAGAATCATCAAGTCGAGAACGATCACCTACCATGGCGACCGCTGTGCATTGAAAACGGAGAAACGGAAATGGGTGTGATTGCGAACAAACTCAGCTGAATCCTGAACCGGGCAGGCCACCAGAGGATCAGCTGGAAGCGCTGTTCCTGCCCACCTGGCTTGCTAGATGCCGCAATTCAGCCAAAATGGTTCGAGCCAGGATGGCTCGAGCCGGAACGGCTACAGAACTAATGGCGTGCGCAATTTGATCTTGGCACTGGCGCGCAATCCCCACAGCGAGTGGAAGGCGCTCGCTCGCGGTCCTGCTTCCGACGATTTGGCGAGAAGAACAAATGTGGGTCACGCGCGAGTGCAAACACAATTTCCATCCGTGCGCGGCGTTGTGGCGGGACCACCATTTAGCTTTCTCTGGCGCGGTCGAAGTTCCGACGAACACGGCCACGACGAAGAATGCACCGCGCCGGAGCCGCACTGCCACTTTCACTCATCATCTCTGCGGACCTTGGGCAGGAACAACATTTCGCCCGCCATCGCGCGGCCTGGGTGCCGCTGCCGCTGCCCCGCGACTCGGCGACCGAGAAACATGCGCCTCGCCAGAGCGGAAGGCCGCTTCCAGCCGAAGTCTGCGTGAGGTTTGGGCGACAGCGGCACTTCGCAGGCTCGCGCGTGGCCCCGCCCACAAAAACCTTGCGACAAAACATGGGCCGAAGCCAAGCGGGAACGTCACTTTCAGGCGAAACCTGCGCGGCGCCGAGGTTTGGCGAGCAACCGAATGTACGCCACGGCTAAGCGGGAGCTCAAGTCTCAAGGGACGTGAACGCGGCACCGACGCGAGAGCGACGGCGTCCCGTCCCATTCCGCGAACGATCTGCGACCCGTCTATTCCTGTCACGCATTGTGCAGCGTCGACGACGCATCGTCCATGTTGACATGAGAAACGTACGAAACGTACACTTTCTGTTTTGCAAATTAGATGGGATGGCCAGGATGCTCTGGCGATCGGCAAATTCAGTGGCCTCCATCGGTTTGTCATTATGGCAGTGTTCAAAAAAGTGCTTAGGTTCTTCGGTGCCTCAGGATGGCCGAGGACGAAGGAGGAGGGTGAGGATGAGCGAAGAGTAGCGATGAAGGAGAAACCATGGACAGATCGGGCTTTGGGAGGAGGGAGGCGGAATGAAGAGGAAAAGGAGGACAGTGAGGACTATGGGGGAGAAAGGGCGACGGAGGACGAGGAAGGTGGAGGAGGGGCGAATGGGGGCCCTACTTCTCCCCACCTCCAATTGCTTCCCTCCACCTCCTCCATGCAGCTTACTCCTCCCCCTCCTCCTTCCTTCTTCCTACGTCCTCTTTCCCCTCCTCGACCTCCTCTGGGGGGAGGCGGAAGGAGGAAGAGATGCTTTCAGCGGTTGGTCATTGATGCGGTGAAACTGGCAAACGCCACACCCCTCACGTCGGCTGCATGAAGCCGGCAGGCGCAATCACTTCGCTGATGCGCGCAACCAGCGGGAAGCCCGCGGTGGGCGGCATCTCGGACCTCCGGCCGCGTGCGATATCCACGAGAGGCGGCGCGTCATGAAGGAGGGGTGCGCGCCCCTCGTCTCGTCCACGTCCCTCCACGCCGTTCCCTCCTCCCCCTCCTTCCCTCTCCCTCTGCCCCCCCCATCCTCTCCGTCCCCCTCCTCCTCGCCCACCTCCTCTGCCTCCAACCTTGCCTCCTCCTGCCCGTCCTCTCGCCCTCTCCTCATTCTCCTCTCGCCCAGAAGCGCCCGCTCTCGCGCCGCGCCCCTGCGCGCACAGGCCAGACGCCTCCCCCCCCCCCCCCTTCCCCCCACCGCAGAGGACCTGGGGGTGGCGCGCAGACAGCACCCAAGAGGTATACCCTGAGTCAGGGGGCTCCTGTCGCTCTTGAGGACCACGCCCCACGCACAGAGCAGAAGAAGACACGCCGAAAGCACGAACTCTTGGCGCTCCGCTCGGACTTCTTGGCGCTGCGCCAGACCCCTGCCTGGCGCGCGGAGCGCGCCAGGGGCGGCGCCGACGGCGCCGCCGGGGAGGCGCACCGCCTCGCACAGGGCCCTGGGGGGGGGGGCGCACAGAGAGCCCCCCCCCCAGAGGTACCCCGAGTTCCGAAGACCTCGCGCTGCGAAGCGATTTGCGACGTTTTTTGTTGACGTTCTCGGCCTCGGGGCCGTCAAAAACATACTCGCGATGAGCTGCTCTCGGGGAGTAGGTCGACACCTCGGGGCTTGACGCTATGAAAACATCACGGCGTCGGGGGTCTGGGCCCAAAGATGCGCTGAGCTGGGCGGTTCCGATCGCACTTGAGGACCACATCCCACAAACAATCTCGAGCAGCCAGAACAAGCATCGACAACAACTTGTCCGTGCGACACGCTGGCCACGCGTCGAACGAGTCTCGGCTCCCAGGGCTCGACGCCGGAAAACCCTCCCGTTTTGGCATTTCCCCAGTGCTCGAGGCTCTGTCGGGCCATCGAGGGTAAAGTAGGTGGAACATCACAAGCTTAGGTCGGGCGTGTCCCCCTACAGGCGGATTTTGTGGGCAAAATACAACCCTCGTCAAAATTAACTTCAAAAATGTCTGACGTGGTTGAACTGCTTGTCGGAAGATCTGGGGCCGAGTATCGATGAGTGCGGGGTACTTGCATGCGCCGCCCCTCCAATGTCGGTCGACGTCACACTTTCGAGTCAACTTCGGTCAGACTATCTTTGCCCTCGCCCCGACATTGAAGGGGCGGCGTGTCGACATTGAGGGGCGCGCCGAAATCGAAATGATGTGCCAACATCTTTTGAGGTTAATTTTGACGAGGGTAGTAGGAAACAGTCAAAACAAAATCCAAATTTCCAAAAATAATCGAAGCATCGTCCCCGGACTATTCCTTTATGTTTTGAATACTCCTCCTGTAGAGGGACATGCCCGACTTAATCATAAGCCCAGAGACCCGACGTCGCCCCCCCAAGTATACAGCATGCAACGAAAAACACGACCCGAGTCCTACGGCAGGCTGGCGCCGTACCGCCTTCGGCGTGGACTCCTGACATACCGCGGGGCTCGGTCGACCTTGAACGATCGGCCGTCTCCGAAACGTCAGACCCTTCAATGAAGGATCTGACGTTTCGGAAGCGGCCGATCTTTCAACATCGACCGATTCTGGGTCGCTGGCGGCGTTCAACGTTGAAAGGAACTCAATCGATGTTGAAGGACCTTCAACATCGACCGATTCTGGGTCGCTGGCGGCGTTCAATCGATGTTGAAGGACCTTCAACATCGACCGATTCTGGGTCGCTGCAGCGTTCCACGTTGAACGGAATTCGGTCGATGTCGAAAGACCTTCAACATCGACCGATTCTGGGTCGCGGGCGGCGTTCCACGTTGAACGGAATTCGGTCGATGTCGAAGGACCTTCAACATCGACCGATTCTGGGTCGCGGGCGGCGTTCCACGGTGAACGCAGGCGGCGGGGTCGCCACCGGTCGACACGACGCGAAACTGCCGAGTAGCCACCAGCTTTCTGCTGCACCTCTCGAGTTGGAATGATCCGCGGGAGCCCCGGGACCCGAAACCCGGCGACAAAAACGCCTGGCGCGAAGGCATGTGCGAGGCCTGAGAGCTCCTCTCCTGTGCGCGCCACCAAGGAGCGGCCCCGACAAAAGGGCGTTTGTCTTGGGACTCGTGCAAGCGAGCTGGCACGGAGGGGAGGTTGGGGGGGTGCGTGGCGAGGCTCGAAAGGAAATCTGGACTTCACACAGGTCGAGACACTTTTTGGATCCGCGGGTCGAGAGCGCACCTCTTCTGGTCGAAGCTAAGCGGGCCGCGCACAGCTTTAATTAACACATGGGGGGGCAGAAGGAGGGGCCTCACGTGAAGGGCCGGTCGAGACACACGCGCACGTCTTTTCTGCCCAGCGCTGCTTGACAAGGTGCCCGGGGGCACGGTAGCGCATGCACCGCCTGCTGGCAGGTCCCCGAAGGTCCGTCCCCCAGGCGGTCCACGACACGGTCAAATAATTGAGGCAAGGCGCACTTTGACTCGGCAAGAGCCTGGGGGTTCCTTCGGTCGTCCCCCCGGGCTTGTCTCTAGACGCTCTTTGAGAATCGGCACAAACGGTGCCGCAAGAGAGCTCCGAGCCTGATCCGAGGCTCCCTGCGGGAAGACTTCGGTTTGGGTGGGGCGAGGTGGGGAGGGCGAGGTGCCACGCAAGCACACCTGCCCTCGTGGGAGGAGGAGGAGGAGGAGGAGGAGGAGGAGGAGGAGGAGGAGGAGGAGGTAACGCCCTCCAGGCCGCCGAGGCTCCCTCCGAGCAGCCGGGCCCCGTGCGCGGCCTCAGCACGCTCCTCTGCGCGTCGAGGGTGCTCGCGCTGACCCTCCTGTGCGCGTCGGCATCGCAGGGCCGAGGTGCTGGCGGCGTCGGGCCTGGCGGCGGGTCGCCATCGTCGGCGCCGCCATCGTCACGTCGTCGTCGTCGTCGTCATTGACGCCGCCGCCGCCGTCTTCTTCGTGCTGGTTGGAGGCCGACAGGGAGAGGGTGAGCAAGAGAATAGAGAGAGAGGGAGACACCTGAGCAAATAGCCCCTTCCGCGCTGGAAGGGGCGATTGTCGCCGCAGCGCCTCAGATCAGGCTCCTCGTCCTGGAGGGGGCCGACAAGAGGGGGGAGATGAGACGGAGATGGGGAGCAGAGCGGACGAGGAGGGGCGAGGAGAGGGGACGAGGAGGAGGGAAGATGAGGAGCAGGGGGAGGAGGAGGAGGAGGAGGAGGAGGAGGAGGAGGAGGAGGAGGAAGGAGGAGGAGAAGGAGGAGGAGGAGGAGGAGGAGGGCGAGGCGTGGATGACGAGGAGGAACACGTATCATGCATCGTGGATCGGCCTGCCTTCGTAGTAGCAGGGCTCAGACGGCGAGAGTAGGAAGAAGAAGGTACCCTACTGGTGCAACGACGCGACGCGACGGCAGGCAGGAGAACTCAGGCCCAGGGGGTGATGCGTTACTTTTCCCCTCCCTGGCAGACCGGCCGTATAGACGTCACCATGCGCTCCCCTCCCACCCGCCGATCAGCTGACTGCACGCGGAGCACTGGACGAGACGCTGCATGACGCCCTTGATGTTTCGCACGCTTTCTCACGAG